CGTGCGTGCGTGCGTGCGTGCGTGCGTGCGTGCGTGCGTGCGTGCGTGCGTGCGTGCGTGCACTAGGAATGCACGATATAAATGATATACGGTAGAAACGATATAAATTTGTCCTATGATAGAGATCTGTAGCCTACCGGCCAACCGCATAATTCTTTTTGATGATGATGTAACCGGCTGGAGTCAAAACAGAGGAAGCGGGAAGCAGCCTGGCTGAGAGCGCAAATGAAGAGGGGAAAAAAACATAACTTATCCGGACCTGGTTCGGGTGTGTGAAAATGAACGCCGAACTGTTTACATGTTTACGTGACGGCGCATCCTCCGGTCAGATGCCGACCGAGCACACTGCCTGCTGCAGGAGGAGCGCGCGCCGCAGCATATGTTGACGCAGCGAGGCGACAGTCAGTGCAGGTGAAGTAGTGCTCCAGGTCTCACAAAAGCTCGCTGAGTCTGGACCTCGTTTCTCCTGCGGTCATGGTGCGTCGCCGCACGGCCGAATGCGCACCACCCATCATAATGTATATCGTGATATGAATTTTTGCCATATCGTACATTCCTAGTGTGCACTTGTTTCTACAAGTATGAGTGAATATGAGTGTGGACCATAATATGAACAAAGTGAGGTAATTTTTGGGAAGTTAGGCCATTTTCCCGGTCCTCACTTTTTTGCAGTTTTACTGCACTTTAGTAGCTTTATGATGTGTTTTATGTTTTGGTTCAGGTTAGTGTTAGGAATAGACTAACAATGATTAGAGTTAGGGAAAATGAATGAGTTAGGCATAAATGCAATACAAAATGAATGGAAGTCAATACAAAGTCCTCAGTTTCATGCAAGTACAACGATGCGTGCATCTGTTAGCAAGCCACCCCAAGCATTTAAGTAACCAGAGGTCTTCAACCTTGTTCCTTGTGATCAACTGTCCTGCTTATTTCCAAGCTTTAGCACACCTAGTTCAAATAATTAAATTACATACTCAGAATGTCATCAAGTTTAGCAGAAGTCTGCCAATCTTTCATTAATTTTAGTCAGGATCGTTTCCCTACCATTATTCAAGCACCCCCTCCCTCCCAAGAAGACGGCCCGCCCCTCCAAGAAATTCACGGCATCTAGTCATTTTTATTTAAATAAGACCAAATCAAGTCGAAAGCTATTTTTGCGCCCCTCCATATCCACCTCTCGACAAACTTCGGGAAAAAAGACGCTGCAGAGTGAGACTGAGCGCTGTGTGTGGTCCTCACAAAGATAGGAAGATGTGTGTGTGTGTGAGTGAGTGATTAGACGTGCGATGAAAACTGCTTTTTTTAACCACGTAGCACCGATGCGACAGCTTTGCAAGCTACTTTTTCTTTCTTTAAAAGAAAATGCGACAGGTGAAGCCACAGCATGGTTACCTTATCAATAATTACTTTTATATATTACAGCAAGAATCACCAACACAGACCCCGCGTGTGACCAGGTTCCTGCGAGTCCGGTCATGTTCTAATAGCACTGATCAGCAGCGCAGCTACTGCTAATGTAACGTCCCTCAACTTAAAAAAAATTAACTAGAGTACGTAGTTTGTGAACTCAAAACACCATAAATCCAGACAGAATGAGCTGCTGTTAGTCTACAGCTCATAGGCTGAGCCCCTCTCTTTAACTCACACCACACCACAGGTCAGACAGTCCCGTTCAGGAGCATTAACCCTTAAAGGGATCCACGATTAGTTGTAACATTAGACTTTATTTGATAAACATATATTTTAACTGTAAAATAAAGACTGTAAAAATACTGTAGGATGTTTAGTTTTGTA